AAAAAAAGAAAAGTAAAAAAAAAAAAGAAAGAAGAACCCCCCCCCCCCCCCCCCCAGGCCCTTAGTCTCTGCCCTGCGCTACCTACGAGGTCGAGTTTGTCGCAGATGGAAAAGCGCACGGAGGTCCTCAAACGAGAAGAATTTTCTATTACAATTTTCCTCTTTTCTTGTAGATACTACAATCCTCGCTCATCCAAGCTCGATGCCCATACTCACAATAATCCTCGGCCGTGCGATGACTCTTCGCATCACGCCTCACGACCGGTACTTCGACTTCGCATAGGTACGGGACTCACATATCCGCGTATACGCGTACGTCATGGGCGCTTTCTCTGCTTGAGATAGGTACCTACTGCTTTTGCTGATGTGATGATGTGTGGTGGGTCGTGGATAGTGGATAGTGGATAGTGGATAGTGGATAGTGGATAGGACGGAATGGATGAATGAATGGCGTTGGTTGGTTGGAAGAATGGGGAGTTGAGAGCGCGAGGTTCTCCATGCGGTTCGTGGGTGGGTGGGTGCCGGTACTGTGCTTTGCACCGGTTTGGGCCCGTGCGTGCGGCGCAGCTCCTTTGGTGCTTGGGGTGGGTAGGTGTTGCTTGATTGGGTTGGGTAGTTGCGTGGTTGGTACAGTAGAGGTGGTGTGGTGTGGTGTGGTGTGGTGTGATGATTGTGTACGGGATGGTCGGGATGGTCAGCGACGGTGGCGCAGGTTCTTGGTCTCTGCTGGGTGCGATACTGGCTCGCGGCATCTCGAGCTTGAAGCTTGAAGCTTGAAGCTTGAAGAGCGCGGGTGAGTGAGTGAATGAATGAATGAATAATGGGCGTTGGACTGTGTTGACGATACGTACTAGTATGAAAGATGGATGGATGGAGGTCGGTGCTGCGGCTCCTACTCTGGTTTCGATTGGGTAAGAGGAGGGGATCGGATTCCTTTTGAAAGCTACTTACAGGAGCAGTTGGGAATTTACTACTAGTGGTAGTCGAATACGGATCGGTGCTGGATTTAGGTTAGAGGATGCCTGACGCCTTTGACCTGCCTTCAGTCCAGTCCAGTACTGTAGGTACTTACAGTCGGGTAGTCTTCCCAAGGCAAGTTTACCAGTGCCCACCGTGCCCAGTGCCCAGTGCCCAGTGCCCAGTGCCCAGTGCCCAGTGCCCAGTGCCCATGCCCAGTGCCCCATTGCCCTCGTCCCCTCGCCCCCTCGCCCCTTCCCCGACTCTCACCCGGTCATTGCCGTAGGACCATCTTGAGCGTCTGGACTACTGCGAACGAGAGAAAGAGCCAATGGGCGGCGGGGGATTATCAATGAACCCTCTGTCAGTGACCCACTCCCCTGCCCTTCCGACCCGCTCCGACCCGCTCCGACCCACTCCGACCCCACTCTACCCCACTCGGAGATGGGAGATGAGATTTGACGAATATCGCAAGGCAATCGCAAGGCAAATCGCAAGGCCTCGCAAGGCCTCGCAACCCATCCGCATCTCCGCAAGTAAAGTGAGTTGAAGCCAGAAGTACCGAATCTTGAATGGAAGGGAATGGAAAATGGCATGGCATTCGCACACCCATCAACCACGTGACTGGACCATCCATACCAAGTACAATCCTTTCTTTCTTTCTGTCCACTCTCCTCTTCTCCCTTGACACTTCTCCCTTGTCACATCACCTATCACCCTCCCCTTCCCCTTCCCCTTCCTCCTCCCCCTGGGACCCATCGTCGGATCTGATTAGATCACCACGCATGCATTCCGGAGACGTCCACGGCCACGGCCACGTCCACGTCCACGTCCACGTCCACGTCCACGATCACGACTAGCAGAAAAGCTAAACCCAAAGACTACGCCAACCACCATCATACACATCTGTCTACCTAGGCGAACGTTTCTGGATACGACGACCCTCGTCTCGCCCTTCGCCCTGTCGCTGCGACCTGCATGTTGATCCAACCCCCCTCCGGCTGCGGCGGCTGCTGATGAGATTCCGATATCAAGCTCACACTGAAAGCAAGAGCTTGTTGATATACTTCCGCTGCCGAATCCTCACTCAATCCCCGTCACCGAAGCGAACACCCACTCACGACTTACTTACCTGCCCGTTGCCATCAGAAGAAAGAGGTTCGTTCGTTCGCTCGCCAGGCGTCGGCGTCGGCGTCGGCGTCAAATTCGTGACCCTGATCACTCCACCGAGATCACGGCCTGAACCTCGAACGGGACGACCAGCCAATCCATCTATCTACCTACTCAACTATCCATGTGCTCGGTACTCCGACCTCGAGATCCTAGATATACTGGCTTCGCGTCAGATCACGCCAAGCCGAATCATCCCGTCCGCAACATGAGCAAAGACTTGCCCACGTCGCCGCGGCCACGGAAGGGGGGGGAGACATATCCGGTTCGAACCCTGTCTCCCAAGGAATCATCAGGAGAGGATGTCGAGCTTGCCAAGCAACTGATGGGACACGCCCAAGCAGCGGCAAGGGAACACCGTGCATCGAGCCGATACCGATATCCAGGAGATAGCCCGTCGCCAGCCCACGAGCAGAGACCGACTTCCACGAGCCCGGCTGCGGAAAGAATGAGCCATATGACACCGGCATCTGCCACGGAAGAAGGCAGTCGTCATAAAGAGCCGTCATATGCACCCATTTCTTCTTCGGCGGTCGACGCGACCCCTGCCGGTCAAGTATGCAGGTAAGTTCAGCCTTGCGGTCAACTTCCATGAGCCGAATTTGACCCCATCGCAGCAACTGCGGCACGAGCAGAACTCCACTATGGCGACGGTCTCCCCAGGGGGCTACGATTTGCAATGCGTGCGGTCTCTACTTGAAAGCCCGGAACGCCTCCAGACCGCCGAACTTGAAGCGACCCCCGACCACCATGGCGGCGTCGCCGGGTCAGGAAATCCCCGAGCAGAGAATCTCTCCGGCGAGAACAGGACCGAGTAGTAGTCAGGTCTCGACGGGAGCCGCCTACGTGACGACGGATAATACACCGGTCGGGTCTTGTCCCGGCGGGGGGAAGTGTAACGGGACCGGGGGAGCGCAAGGTTGCAGCGGCTGTCCCGCATTCAACAATCGGTTATCCAAAAGCGCCCACGTCGCCGCCCCCCAGCCGTCTCCCGCCCCAACGCAACACAGCGATGGCCCTTCGGACGCCCCGTCACCGATCGATGTCGCCGCTCTCAGCCTCCAGGGCCAAAATGCGACGGTCGTGCTGGCGTGCCAGAACTGTGGAACCACCATCACCCCGTTATGGCGCAGGGACGAGAGCGGTCATACGATCTGCAACGCCTGTGGCAAGTATCGCGCCTCCGGGAAGCACTCGCGCGTACCGGCTAACGATGGTATCATAGGCTTGTATCACAAACTTCACGGGGTCCACCGCCCGGTCACCATGAAGAAATCGACCATCAAACGCCGGAAACGTGTGGTGCCTGCGTCACAGGGTGCGCCAGCGTCAGGAGCCGATGCCACGGCTCCCACGGGGTCTCCCGAATCAGATATCCCATCTCCGGCCGAGGAGGCTCCCCGCGGGAGCATCAACGCCGACGGCTCCGTCAACCTCGGTCTACGATTACGCGACGCACCGGGTCGCTCACTCCTCCCGGAACCCGTCCCGTCGGGTCGCGGAGGACAGAATGGAATCCCAGATGTGTCAGCATATCTATCGCTGAACCCGCTTCAACATGACCATTCCGACGGCGTGTATAGCGAGAACCGCCTCCCGCCCATGACGTCGTATCCTCCACCGGCCCACCAGCGCCCCTCCGTCTCCCCGAACTCCAATTCCTTCCACCTGCTGTCCCTGAAACGCTCCTTCTCGACTGCGGAGATGGAGCAGTTGGCGCCGATGGATGATGCGAACGCGAGCGCCCAACCCCAACGGCTGAGTTCCATCAAGAGTATCCTGAATCCTGGCTTTGAGGAGGGCGAGAGGGAGATGAGGAATCGGGGGGACAGTCGGAGTCCAAGTTTAGGGTACGGGAGTGGGAACGGGAGTGGGGGTGTGCACGAGGAGAGAAAGAAGGTCGAGCGGAGAGAGATGTTACAACGGGAGGCGGAGAGGATGAGGGAGGCGCTCAAGGCGAAGGAGA